CTAAAGAATCTTAATATATCTGCATTCAAAAACACGTTAGCAAACTCCCCTTGGGACACGGCCTTCGTATTTGATGATATTAATGATGTTCTCGCCACTTGGGAAGGTATATTTTTTCAAGCAATCGACCAACATGCCCCAACAAAACAAAAACGTATTGCCAAGTCTAAGCAGCCTCAGTGGATTAATGGTGACATCCTTAATCAGTTAAAGATTATAGTCAGTGTTGGACTACATCCATCGAAGGTTTGTGGCATGAGAAATTTGTTGTTGCTGAAACTGATATTCTACCGCACATGTGCAACAGAACGCGTCAATGCAGTTTGGAAGTGGTTTCCGTTGAATCAAATAAGGGTAGTCGTGACCTTCCTTTAGTTATAGTTGTTCCTCAATTACTGCTTTCCCAGCAGTATACATGCAGCTGTTTCACTCGCCAAGCCTGATACTGTGAATCGTTAGCTTTAATTATGCCCGTAACAATGCATGCTTACTGCAACTCTCGACAATTTTAATACTCGTTTCACCGAGGATTGGATTGAGATTCATAAAGGCTTCGGATTCTTTAACAGTTTAAGGTTAAAAGACGAATTTGACTTCTGAATATCGTTTTGCTAATAAAAAACCATCTCTCATATAAGTATAGTTAAGTATTGCATTTCAAAAGGTATATGCAAATATAAGTTAATATATATAGTAAACTTATATCATAATATTTACTAGGCCTACCAATACATAGTACATGTATGGGACTGGATTAATATCGTGGAAACTTCCCACATGGAAATTTGCAGCTGCATACACAAGGCAAAACAAGGCCTTATCCACTTGCGAATATCTCTTATGGAAATAGAGGGTACTTTTTTGGGGACATGCTGCATGTATATCGGCTGTCATTCAGATTTAAAGTTAGGTCATAATTATTGAACGTAAAGAGTTCTTTGTATTTCTCTTGCACTAGTAATAGTGCAGCTGCATGTGATAGAAAACGACTTTACCTTTTTCCAGCTATTTAGTTGTGCATGCGAAATCCAGTATGTATGTTACAGATGCAGTAATTAGTTAACATAAAATCGTTATACCTATATGTTTTTCACATACTGCATGAAGATGATGTTTTCAATACAATCAAAATTGTCCCATTGTTTAGCTACTGACAGGGTTACACTTAATCTCAGTTAATAAGCCTGCTAAATATTTGCGCTGACCTTGACAAGTGCATGTAAATTTGATTTTGAAAGTAATACACGAAACAGCCCAAATCAGTCGATATGCATGGTCCATGTGAAATGCATCAAGATTTAATTATTGATGATTACTAATGCGGGGACCCCATGGAAGATTTGAGAAAGTTATAGTTGCTGAAACGGATATCTTATCCAAGTCCAAATAACATTTAACAATTAAGCTGCAAGCCTAAATATAACTTGATGCATAATGCATGCATAAATTTTATATGACGCTCTAAAATTACGCAAAATGTTTAATTCCCTCGACAATCAATTATTGCTTGTCCACGGTAGATCTTATACGCGTTGTTTTAATCATCAGCTCTTTTTTACACAAATAATTTCTTTTAGCTTTCTATTTGACATAATTGAAATAAATTTCTAATTATATAGTGTTGTCTTAATTAATAAAAATCGTCTTCGACTCTAGCAGGATTTGGGAGGCTAATAAACATGCCAGTTCATCAGTTGTCAATGTTTGACTACCCCCATCGAGGATTCATAACACGAGAAATTTCTATTTGCTGAAACGAATATTCTACTAGCTCGCACGTCCAAAAGAACGTATTAATGCAATTTGAAAATAATGTGCGATAAAATAATGGAGAGTTTTAAAGTTTACAAAGGCGACTTCTCTTAGCTTTTCTTAATATTTTCCCAACACTATGGCCGTGTATTCCATTCAGGCTCACAGATATTTAGAACACTCACCAAGCCTCTGTCAAACTTGTGCTTGAAAAACTGAGCCGCATAACAATGCATGACTGCATGCCAAACTCTCGATAACTTTCATTCTCGTGTCACCTAGCATTAGACAAAACGTCTTGAAGGGTTATATATTATACACTTAATGTCTGGACCCGAGGGAAATAGTTAGTTTTGTTTTCCCGAGAATCTCAATGTTTCCCGATACGAAGTCGAGGGAAACATTGAGATTCGAGGGAAAGCAAAACTAATTATTTTCCCAGGGATATAACGTTAAGTGTTTTGTTATATAGCGACGAAACAAATATCAACATTGAGCAACATTCATACAACAATATTTGTATTTCATGACAAAAACTCTATAGCGTAAACGAGTTTAAAATTTTAAAAACCTACTTAAATGGTTTCAGCAGCATATCCTGTTGCCTGTTATGTATTTTTCTTCTCTTTTCCATTCTTTATTTTAACACAAAGCCACGAAAACAGTAGTTTAATAGTATAAATTTGTGCCGCCATTTGTTTATTTATGTACGTGTAGCCGGTCGGGGCGGGCAACAATTTTTCACTTATTGCCCGGGCAAGATACATTGCATTTATCTAAAGCCACGTGACTACAAATCAGCCAATCACGTTTGGTGTTCACACTAGCAATATAACAAATATATATATATATGTACCTATACCATTCTCGTTAATTTCGCATTTACAAATACGCACAGATAATCCTACAATTAACGTTGCTTCATATTTGCGCTCAAAAGACGAATAACTAAACGCAATTAACTAAATCATAATTCATTCGTTATTAGGCCTACTTTTGAAGCCACTCTACGCTATACAAAACATTAAATTAAATCAAATTGATTCCTAAAAGTTAGAGTGCAAATTTACTGTAGATGGATCACCGAATTAAATCTTTTATATTCCGGTCTAAATTAATATACATGTAAATCCATCCAATAAAGCACTACAATGAACACATGAACGCATACATTTTTTTACGAAAATTAAAACAAACAAAACGACAGACAGTTTGAACAAGAAATCTGATAACATGGGAGCATTCAAAGTCGACACATTGAAATATCCGCATATCTGGCATGCGCGCGTGTTATTCGTTTTACCATGCAAGCAAATGTTATAGTTACTACAGTTTCGTTTCATTTTTGGTTAAATACAATCATACTTGCATTTGCAATTGCAAAGTTGAACGTCACTCCCGTCCATCTTGGGCATTGTATGTTTGTCGTTTAATTAATTTGAAATGCACCCATTTGAGGTTTTCAAAATTGGATATTTCCATATTAACGGTAATTTTGTTTGAAAGAATATAAGAATAGTAAACACGTTCTCGTACCAATTCAATGCGTTTCAATGTTTGGGCATATAGAAGCTCTCTACAATATGTAGGCTAACTGTAAACCGTAATTGCAAAACACAAATTTATTCAAAAGTTAATCAAATACAACAGTACGTCAAACTTATAATAAAAAAGTAAACTCTGGTATGCATGAAGCATAAACAAGACTATATAGCTAAGTGCAACAATACAATTCCGGTGCAAATTCATAAGCTTATGCATAAAAAGTCGGTGATTAATGTCTAATCTAATTGATCAATTATCCTGATTCCAGTCCGGTAATAAAGCATAATATGTCCAGCCTTAGTCGGCGTATGTAATTGCGGCATTAGAGCATCCGCGACAACAATTAAACCAGTTGCAACAACCTCGACGGAAACCACGCTTCTTTTCCCCACCTTCATCAGCGGACTTGTTGAAAAGGCATCGATTCGGATTAACATGAATCTCTAACCCAACTTTGCAAGCCTTGGTTTTGCGTCCCTTGATACGACTTTCCACTTCCTTCACGGTTTTGGAAAATATATTCGACTTTCTCAATTTCTCTGGCAAACGTTGCTCCAGAACACTTTCCCAGAACATAACCCTGGAGCAATCATCAGATACCATGTAGTAAATGGTTTTCTTTGCAATTTTCTTCCCATCTTCATCTGTTTCAGTGGACTTTTCTTCACTTCTAACAAAGCCATATTTCTCCAAATTTGCCTCCTTCAAATACTTTTTCATCTCTTGCTCAGTAACCTTCAGGTTTTCGTCAAAAATACGCACGACATCTGTCTCTGCCCCAAATACTAGAAAATTAGGAGCCAGCAATTATTTGTATTTATTTAAATTATTAGGGGAGTCAAACGTCGAATATTAAACTTTCTCTAAATTCTATGCACTACCACGTATTTTCCTTTCGCCACTAAATATGGCATCTGTTCATTTTCTACGACTTGCATTTCCACGCGAATTTCAGAAAATTTATTGATTTTTTTAACGTATATAGAAACAGATAAAACTGTAATTGAGATAAACTGAATGAAAGTCGGTGTAGCGGTATTGGTTTCGTGGATATGCATGAGAGGTATTCAACAAATGGAAATATAAACCAGCGTAAAATAGTGGTCAGAAAAACAACCGTGAAATTATGGCATACCTTTTGGAGACAGATACAGCATGAAGGCAAAAAGTACTGCAATGCCAAACTTCATATTTCAAAGATGTGCTTGTCTCTCTTTAATTGTGCAAATTTGATGCGCTTCGTATGGATACCAAATATCAACTGATTCTAACGTTGTCGAGTTTCTGCCTATACGAACTGTAAAATGAATAAATTTAATGATATGCCACATTTTGCGCTAATCGTTCCGGCACTGCCATTGCGAGCTTGACAAAAGATCGGATTAACCTTGACATGCCCTTCATCAAACTACTGACACTAAAGTGACGATGCTTTACGCAAAATTGTTCACGATTTCAGATTTTTAGGAAATAGCTAGTATTTAAACCAGTATTTTTTTAAAAACTACATTCACCTTTCTCGTTATACTAAAATTGTCATATAACAAAACGGTAATCAGAACAATAACATAATGCTGGCCTGGAGCATCATGCAGCCATAGTTATTGAACTTTATTACAAACCATAAAATTGGGTAGAGTCCTGCGACAATAAATCATTGTTTGTATACACTGTATTTTACCTCTAATTAACAACGTTACACGCAATCAATTAACTACATGCAACTGTCGGCTTTTTTTGAAAGTTAAAAATGGTCTATAAAGCAAATCATAACCTTATTCAAGCATGTAAACTATTCAGCACTATAAATCTGTGTCCATGCATGGTTATCACACAACACAACCAAATGAAACAACATAATTGCATAAGTGGAAATTAGGAGAATCAAAACATTCGTCATTGCCGGTGACAGTACAAGCAAGATTTCCAAGTTTCTGCAAATGACTACTTAAATGCATGTGTTCATTCCCATAGCGAACGATTGTTTTTCTAAGGGCTGCAACAAAATATATTTCTAAATTCCGCCTTTATTACCATGCAATTCCTTTTAAAGTTGATATCCTGTTAACAACGATCCTGCTCGTGTTTTATACAATGACAAAATTCTTGCAGTTTTCTATTTCGCATAGAAATAAATCTCTAGTGTTGCCTTAATTAATTATTAATACTATACAACTTGCTGTTTAAATTGGCCTTGACTCTTGCAAGATTGAGGAGGCTTGTAAACATGCCAGTTCATCAGTTGTCAATGTTGGACTACCGCCATCGATTTAGGTGTGTGGCATGAGAAAATTGTTGTTGCTGAAACTGATATTCTACCGCACATGCGCAACAGAATGCATCAATACAGTTTGAAAATGGTTTCCGTTAAATTAACTAAGGGAATCGCGACCTTCATTTAGTTAGCTGTTCCTAAATTAATGCTTTCCCAGCATTATATATGATGTATGCAGCTGGTTCAAAGATATTTGAAACACTCGCCAAGCCTGATTCTGTGAGTCGTTAGCTTTAATTATGCCCGTAACAATGCATGCATGCTAACTGCAACTCTCGACAATTTTAAATCTCGTTTGACCGAGGATTGGATTTCTTAAAGATTCATAAAAGCTTCGGATTCTTCAACAGTTTACGGTTAAAAGACGAACTTGACCTCTGAATATCGTTTTACTAATAAAATATCATCTCTGATATAAGTGCAGATAAGTATTGCATTTCAAAAGGTAGCTGTATGCAAATATAAGTTAATAATAGTAAACTTATATCATAATATTTACTACCAGCTAGCAGATAGTACCTGTATGGGAGCAGATTAATATCGTGGAAACTTCCCAAGTGAAAATTTGCAGCTGAACAAGGCAAGACAAGGCCTTAGCCAGTTTCGAATATTTCTTATGGGAAAATCTACTGGACAAAAGACTCTCGCTTTCACTTTTCGTCAGAATTCCTGTCATGTGGGGAAAAACGCTCAAAAAATAGATGGCCTATTTTATGGAATATTTTAGTTCTGTTGTGGTGATAGTCCAACTTGAATTTTCAATTTACGGCTGTACGTCAGTCATTTCAACTACTTCAGCTTGTGAAATACAAATGTATCGTAAAGTGTACTAGTAATTTATCTACTTATAATGGTATACCTATTTCATATATAATAATATACATAAAGATATTAATTGAATGTGATTGGATGATTTATAATTAAGTGCAATTAATCCTAAACAACAGTGCAATTTTCTGTAATCACAATGCAATTTTGTATAATCAAAGTGCAATTTTCTGTAATCACGGTGCAAAAATCTGTAACAAACTGATCTGATTGATGGAAAAACATTGTAATGATTAAATCAACTAATCAGTTTAAAACAGTTTAATTACCTCCGCCAGGAGGTTATGTAATCATCTGGGTTTGTATGTGTGTGTGTGTGTGTGTGTATGTGTGTATGTGTGTGTGTGTGTGTGTATGTGTGTGTGTGTGTGTGTATGTGTGTGTGTTTGTCTGTGAGCACGATAACTCAAGAAATACCAAACATATCCGTACGAAATTTTTTTAATGCATTTCCCATCGGCTAAGGAA